AGATATGCACTTTTGGTTGTTGATAGTGCCACAGGATTGTTCAGGTAGTTTTCGAGAGAGGGTAGTGTCTAATTATTGTCGATTAATTAGTGCGACTTTATCAATGTGGCTCTTCCATATTTGTTCAGAACAGACTATAGTGGTCGAGGAGAACTGGCTGCGCGACAAATGGCACTTTCGAAGTAACGGATTTTTGCCGCTGTTTTTTTTATTAACTTTTATTCATAATTCTCACAGTTTTCGCTATATTTGTCTACTCCTTTCGAATTCAGAATGATGCGGTTACTCATCAAACTTGCAGATGAATTTGGTGTAGCTGTAGTGATTACGAATCAGGTAGGAGAGGCTCATTAGATTCCTTTACTCTGTTTAACAGTATAAAAGAAGTATATCAGGCCCGATGCTTATTTTTGTTTGTGTTTAATGATGTTGTAGGGATTATCGCCCAGTTTATTTTTCTTTCCTCACTCGATTAAAGTTCAAGCGTATTTACTTGTCTACACTATTGAAAATAACTGAGTTTGATTTACGTTCAGTTTAATTTACGTTCAGTGAGAACAGTATGTAACTGCAACTGCTCAAATCAGCTGTCATGCTTGATTTTGAATACTGAGTTTTAGCTTGCCATGAAGTCAGCATGGCTTTTTTTCTGGTTTGCGAAAATCTGAGTCCATACTGCCAAGAGGAAAAGAATTGGGAATTCGCAGCTCTGTTGGAGGGCATTTTAAAGATGGAATGAATATTATACCGTTTGAAATTCCCCCTTGGCCGCTTGTTTTCGCCTAGTGCTCCTCTGGATCAATAAGGTGCCGTTCTAGATTTTCATGAATTCTGCGTGTCGCGTGTTCTTGTGTAATGTTAGTGTTTTGTTTCTATTTCGTGGACCCTGAAATAGTTTCAATTGTTGATTATGGAAATCGTCAAGTTATTAATCGCTTTTTCAGGTAGTTGCGCAGGTCGACGGAGGAGCCATGTTTCAAATGGATGCCAAAAAACCAATTGGTGGAAATATCGTTGCTCATATGAGCACAACCAGGTAGGCTCAATTTATCATTTTCTAAACTCTCTAACGTCCTTGTTAGATCAGGAGTGAGTTCTGAAACCTGTTTTTGGTTTCAACTTCCTTTTTTTCTTCAGTGGAGCTGCCTTCCGCTGCTCTCATAAAGGTGCAAGGGTGTAAACCAGTAAACAAACTATGATCTGTATTCTGTTGCAGTCTGTTTTGTTGCAATCTCGGTCGTACAGCTCAAAAGAAAACCCCAAACTGTGAAGAAGCATGCCGAGATTTATAGACAGTCGCACTTGAACTGTATTCTAACCATCGAAAGGGCTTAAATATTACCACATCGCACTTAAGTGTACCCTTGCCTTAAAGTCGGCCAATTCTTTGAAGATTGGTGGCACTGCGGTGGACTGAAAAAGAGCCGCGTATCTTCGAGCTGCAGCAAGATGCCGCTAAAGCTTCCAATATTTAATATCCGGAGTTAGCTTTTATGATCGGAGTAAGCGTTGACAGTCATAGCAGATGAG